GTGTGTGTGTGTGTGTTGCAAGAAGAGTAAAACTGAAGTCAGGCAAGTGTTGGTTACAGAGGTTGTGGAGTTGGGCTGTTTGTGGGTGTGAATTCCGGCTGTGTGGCCTGGGGAAAGTGCCGCATCTCTGTCTCATGTATCACATTGGTAAAGTGGGGGTATGGCTAGCTCGCCAGTAAGGTGTGATGAGAAAAGGAGATGGTATGTAGAAAGTGATCAGAACCTGCCAAGCAGGGTGGAAGTGTTGATAGTGAACAATTAAAATCAATCAAAATACTCAGTGAAGGGTTCAAATTGTGGTCTAATGAAAACAAAGGAATAACAAAAGGTTTGCGATAGTATCAAGTATTGGATTTTTAAAGTATGTAAGAATGGTGCCATGTTTTAAAAACCTAAACCCGCTGTCATGAGCCAATTCTAAGTGATAGTGACCTGCATGCAGTTCCGCGGGGAGACCCTCACCCTTTTCTCGTGGAGTGGCTGACAGATTTGAACTACCAGTCCTGCGGTACCTAACGTACCGGCTACTAAGGGCTATATGTTTTACATGTGGTGTGTATGTAATAGAGGCATGTTATATCAATATACACACACATGCATTTGCAGAGCAAAGAACACTGCATTCTCCAATTAGTGGGGAAGAGACACACTTCAGAGCCCTCTGGTGGTACAGTGCCTAAGTGCTGGGCTGCTCCCCAAAGACTGGCAGTTTGAAGGCACCAGTTCCTCCCTCGGGGAGCTGTGGCGGCCTGCTTCTGGGAAGATTGCAGCCCTGGAACACCCTATCGGGCTGCTCTCTGCCCTGTTGTGTCAGAATGAGTCCACTGATCACGTAGCAGCAGGTGACATATTGGTAGGGCTTCCAATTCCCTCACTTTTCCCCAAACTTCTCCCCTGAAGCTTTGATGGTCTGTGACAATGTGTCACAGTCGGGTGAGCTGCCCAGCACCTCCCCAGCAGGGTGTGAGGGCCTGTCTGTGTGTACAGCGGGGTGTGAGGGCCTGTCTGTGTACAGCGGGGTGTGAGGGCCTGTCTATACAGCAGTCACCTCTCTGTGTGAAGAACCCGTCCATTGGTGAGGCACCAGAGGAAACAAGGAGGGGGTAGGTCTGTGGGTGGGCGAGAGGGGGCCAGACTACAATAAAACTGAAAATAGAAATAAATAGAAAAAAAACAAACAAACTAGAAATAGAATCCTTACATGAATTTACTACAATATATCTAGACTGTGGCCCTAAATAGTAACACTTAATTTGCCTTAGAATCTCTTGGTCCACAAACAAAAAATGTTCTTGGAATGTCCTTGCCCTGAGAAGACTTGCACAAAGTACTGATCTGCATGTCCTCATTGGGGAGCCATCATTGATCAATTCTTCTTTGTGGGGTTGCCCCCCAACAGAGGGATATGCTCTGTGAGGACCTGGCTCATGCCACTGAGCAGCTGAACATGCTCACGGAGGCCTCGAAGAAGCACTCGGGACTGCTGCAGTCGGCCCAGGCGGAGCTCACCAGGAAGGAGGCCCTCATCCAGGAGCTGCAGCACAAGGTGAGCCACGGAAAAGCGTCCCCGCTAGACTCGACAGGGGCAGGCAGGCACCATTGTTGGGGTCTTGGTGACTCATTGCTTCTGGACAAAAGGTGCGTAAGCGTGGCTGTCAGTCGTCCGGAGGTTGGAGTGATGGCAAGCGCAGCCCCTGGAGGACATGGGGAGCTCGCCTCACCTGGCTGCCTCTTCTTGCTCTGTGTCTTTGACACAAAGCAGCGAGTTCTAGCCATGCTGGTGAGGCTCTCGCTTTATTTTTATTTTTGATGGCTTTGTTTATTTATGGGTTTGTGTGTAAATTTATGCATAGAAAGGAGATATTTGGGTTAAAATAGCAACCCAAGTATATCGACACAAAAGATAGCCCCAGATTTTCATTGTCTTCCTTTGAAACATGCTACGGTTGTGTTTCATGTTACTAGCATAGTGCTTTTGAAGTGATGATTCACCAATTCCTTGGAACAATCACACCGGGAGCCTGTTTCCGCCCACAGCATATGGGAGGCCTGCCTTGTCTCCCCGACGGGGTGCTGCCCCTGCTGTGTTTGTGACTGGTGGCTCCGTCTGTCCCTTCTCAGCTCCAGGAAAAGAGAGCGGAAGTGGAGCAGAGGAAGAACGAGTACAACTCAAAGATGAGGCAGCTGGGGCACGTGATGGAGTCCGCTGCTGACCGCCCGCAGGTACTTCTCCGAAAGAGAGTCACGTTCCAGGGGAAATAAACCGTGCTGTGAATGAGGGCCGTGTTGCTCTGGAAATCACCAAGGCTCCTTTTCCTTTCTTTCTTTTTTTAAAGAAAAAGATTTTCATTAACATGCTCTTTCTTCCTAGCTCTTTTGTTTGTTTCCTTGGACAAGAGTTAAACTAACACGTTAAACTAACTGCAGGCATTCTGTGTGCCTGGCACGTACACCTGAGGGAATCTGTGGAAAATCACCCTTCGGGTGTTTCGGTGAGATTTGATTTTATTCTAGAGCCCTAAAACACCACCTCACTTCCAAACACATTTGGCGAAACTCCTGGAGACCCAAGAACAAGAGATCGAAGATGGACGAGCCTCTCAGATCTCTCTGCAGCACCTGGTGGCCCAGTTGAACGAGGACAGGGAAGCCAAGAGCGCCGCCATCCTCCGGATGAAGGTAACTGGGCAACTGCCCCGGTTTTACAGCGAGTCTCCGAGAGCTTGGTGAATAAGCTGTAGCCTCATGAGAGCTTGGGGAACAAGCTATAGCCTCATGGTTCCTGAGGATCCAAAATTCAGAAGACCCAGAACTGAAGGGTAAACAGAAAAGTCTTCCAACCTCCTACCCTCCCATGCCAGTATCCCTGAGGCCTCCCTGTGTGGTCATTTCTCACCTCTCAGAGTTTGTCAGTGTGCCTGCAGCCGAGTCTGGAAGATGCTCTCCTCACTGTGCTCACATGTCATCCGGTGGTTTCTGAGCAGACAGGTTGTTCCGGTGCTCACTGTTAGCAGTCACTGAGCCCACTGCCTGAACCCTTTCGTCAGGGCAGCCCAGCTTAGGGGCCTTCACCAGTTCCGTAGGGAAAGCATGGAGGTGTGTTTTCCTGATTACGAACAAGGGTCAGCTTTTCTTTTGAGCTTGCATACCCCTGGCCCTCTGCTCTACTGTTGGCTTTTCATATGGCTTTGCAGAGGGTCTGTATCCACTAGAGAGAGAGGCACTCGGTGGAGGAGAGTCAAAGATGCTCTCATTTTCCATTTCTCCTTCCGTTCTCCATATTCGCCCGGGTGTTCTCCCAGCTCCTTAGGGGTTTGGTGGTGGGATGGGGGGCTCTGGGGGGGGAATGGGAGGTGGTGTGCCTAGAGGGATGGGGGATGGAATGTACCACAAAGGGAGGTCATGCAGTGGGCTGGTTTCTTTGCTTAGGACTGAAATTTTCTCTCTTTAGCAGGGTGTGCAAAGCATCTGAAAGACAGCATTCCTGTTAGGCTTCCTCTCTCCTGGCAGACAGCCCTCCTGGCCTTTCATCTGGGGCCATTCCCAACATGCTGTCTGAGGGATGGGGCTGTCCCACAGATCTTCTTAAGAAGAAATCAGGATGCGTGTGGCAGTTACCTGTTTTCTCTCTTCAGTATGATTGTACTTAGGATTTTAAAATTAGGATCCAGTTAACCTCAGTTTTTTAAAAAAATCCTACTAAATAAATCAAATCAAAGACTTGGCCATCTTCCTCATAAAGGACTTTGAACGAAATAGGTGACAAGGAGGCGTGTTTAAGGCACTGCTGTGACGACAGCAAGCCACTTCCAGGCCACTGAGAGTCTCACGGTCCACTTCTTCCCCGCAGTGCTGTAAAGGGGCTCAAGGGGCTGACAAAGGCGTAGCTCAAGCCAGGGCCTGCGGAGCAGTGCTGTCACTGTGACAGTGACGTTTCTGAAAGGACATCTGCTGTGTTGTCAGGAGCAATTGCGTGAGATGGAAAACGTCCGCCTGGAAGCCCAGCAGCTGAGAGAGCAAAACTGGTGCCTTCAGGGTCAGCTGGATGACATGCAGCGCCAGGCGGAGGGCAGGTGAGAGAGGCTCGGTGTCCCCGCTCTTCTCGGAGGCGCTCTGGCCTGTGCTGTGAATCAGCTGGCATGGGGGTTCGGCTGCACCCTCCGAGGGAGACTTGGCATGTGTGCTCTCACCTGCTTTGCCAGCCTTTGCATGGTGTAGAGCTGCTGAAATGAACGGAAAACGTGCGATTCTTGCACCAGTCCCACTTCTATTGGGAAGAGAGCAAGTCGGCAAGACAAGGTTGAGGAAGCTGCAGAGAAGGGAAGGATTTCCTGCCGTTGGCTTTGCTGGGCACGTGACCCAGGGAAAGCCCCTGGGTGGGCCAGAGGAACCTCTGTTTACAGACCCAAGGGGATCTGTCTGGGGGTCTGTGCTCTGGCTTCTGCTCTGGCCGTGTTTAGTGGATGACACCAGGCTTATGTCCTGTTGTGACTTCTAGATCTTATCTATGGCATCTAAGCCACAGCCTTTCTCTGACATCGAAGTCATGTGACACTGGCCACATGTTGTAACCTCTTGGTGCCTCAGTTTCTAAATAATGTGGATCATCAGAACTGCCTGGCCAGGAGTTTGAGAAATTATCAGTGAGGTGGAAATGCATCAATGGCGGTGCCCCGCAGAGGAAAGGCACTTAGTCACGGAAGCAGATAGTGGTTATTAAGTACAGCGGGGGACCGTGAATGAGGCTGCCGATGGTGAACTGACGGAGGGACTGACGGCAAAGACCGCCTGCAAATCCGCAGGAGACGGACTTGAATGCCGAGGTCTCTGGAGTAGGTCGGATTCTCTGATGAGGAGACTCGACTGCTGTTGGCAGAGTCTGGCAGACGCCCTCCTGCTCACGCAGCGCCACTCCAGACCTCGGGGAACATACCTGGGGCCGCTGATGGCGGCGCTGCTGAGGAGCAGCGGGGCTCTAAGAGTAGGGCTGAGGAGACGTGTAGAAATCTGCATTTAAAAAAATCGTTTTATTGGGGGCTCATACAACTCGTAACACAATCCATACATACATCGATTGTGTAAAGCACATTTGTACATTCATTGCCCTCATCATTCTCAAAACATTTCCTCTCCATTTAAGCCCCTGGCATTAGGTCCTCATTTTTCCCCTCCCTCCCCGCTCCCCCCTCCCTCGTAAGCCCTTGATAATTTATAAATTATTATTTTGTCATATCTTGCCCTGTCCGACGTCACCCTTCACCCACTTTTCTGTTGTCCGTCCCCCAGGGAGGTCACATGTAGATCCTTGTAATCGGTTCCCGCTTTCCTACCCAGTCTCCCTCTACCCTCCCAGTATTGCCACTCACACCATTGTTCCTGAAGGGATCATCTGCCCTGGGTTCCCTGTGTTTCCAGTTCCTATCTGCACCAGTGTACATCCTCTGGTCTAGCCAGACTTGCAAGGTAGAATTCGGATCATGATAGTGGGGGCGAGGAGGAAGTATTTAGGAACTAGAGGAAAGTTGTATTTCTCATCATTGCTACATCGCACCCTGACTGGCTCGTTTCCTCCCCGAGACCCCTCTGCAAGGGGATCTCCAGTGGCCTCCAAATGGGCTTTGGGTCTCCACTCCGCACCCCCCCCATCATTCACTGTGGTGAGGAAATCTGCATTTATTAAAACAAGGCCCTCTCCCTCCTAGATGCTTCCGGTACCAGTTGCCCACACACTGCTCACCTGGTTGGGATCCTCATGCTCCCTCTGTGTCTGACCACAGGGAGGTATTTGGTAGACTCTCTTATAAGGGTTAGTATAGGCAAGGAGCATAAGAGTGTGTCCAGGTCACTTGTAAAACCATGAGTGGAGACTATTCCATGGTCCCGTGTCCCTTATATATGAGGATCCACGGAAGAACCTTGAAGGAGTAGAGTAAGGCTTGGCAGGCGACAGCCTACTGGGACCAAGTCTGGCCCATAGTCTATTTCAGGAGAGATTTGTTGAAACGCAGCCGTGCCCTTACTGTGTGCTCCTTGACAGAAAAGTGTGCCAGCCCCTAGGTCAAGCACAGGGCCCGGGGCTCCTGATGAGTTGGTGTGTTTGCTTTGCTGGGCTGGGTCTGCCAGGTTCCCTAGGGCAAGAAACTGATGACAGGTTGTTTTCCTTCATGACTCAGTCTTCTGTATTAGGCAGAGAGATGCCCAGAGAGGCCTGCGGCACACTTCCGGCAGATTCTCCATGGGGGTGTTCTCCTTGGTGAAGGGGCTGCCCACAATCCAGAAATTCAACGTATTATCTTGGTGGCTAGGCTCAGAAAAAGACACGTGAATTAAATTCACAAGAGACTGATGTACCATCCGTAATGTAGCATCCTTTTTCCATAAGGGAGATTTACATCTGGTGCTCAGGGAATCTTTCCCTGCTGTCAGCACTCATGAGAAGCTGGAGTGGTCTTCGGGGACTTGCCAGTCCACCCTGGACCCCGGCAAAGGGAGAGTTGTGGGCCTCCCAGACACCCGTCCCCAGCTGCTCACAGTCATGTCAGACTCCCAGCTGGTGCGGGCGCTCAGACCCCTTCCTCACGCACTTTAGTGTATTTCCAACCAAGCCGCAGTTAGACTTCTCAGCTCTGCATCTTCCTTTGCCCTGGGGCCACTCGTGAGCCCTGACTCCATGGTGACCGTACAGCAGTGAAGCACTGCCGTCTGCGGGCCATCCTTACAGCTGTCATGCAGCAGCGCATCCTTGCAGCCGCTGTGTGCATCTCTCTGGTGGAGGGGCTTCCCTTTGTCGCTGTCCCTCTATCTGACCACGCAGGATGTCCTTTCCCGGCTGCTCTCTCCTGACAGCAGGTGCGAAGTCCCTGAGACAGAATCCCGGGAGCATGCTGGCTGTACTTCTCCCGAGGCAGCTTGGCTTGTTCTGGGCAAGGGGCTGTCTCTTCTCCATGTGGAGGTCCCATCTGTCAACTGTGCTACCTTGACTGGTCACCAGAGACTCATGTGTTCTTGGTACCACCCGGTGATGCTGCGGGTCAGCAATGTGAACTGGATACTTCCACACGCGTGACGGGGTTGTTACCTCTCCCTTCCTTTCCTTCCCTTGTCTTCCCTGCAGTGAGCCGGACCAGCCAGCCAGCCAGCCACGGAAGGGCGAACAAGACGAAGTCGTCCGAGAAAGGCTTGATGAGGTCTGTGTGAGTCTTTTTAGCTCAATGATTGTTTGTCCTTGTCTAAAAAAATGCTCTTATAGCTTCTTGTGGCTAGTGTTTGTTGTCCTGTAGAAACAATTTTACAATTGAAATGCTTATATTTTCCATATTTACACTGTTGGCGTAAGTGTGTTTCCCACCAACATGTCGACGACATTGCTGAGAACTATGAGTGAGTTTGTCCCCATGCCTGGCTGGTGAGCTCAGCGCGCACAGGAGACCGTCTTTATTGTGAAGCAGGTTGGGCATGTCTGTGTGAGGCCGTAGGCGGCGCAGCGGATAAGCCCTTGTCAGAGCCACCCAATGTGAGCCAGCAGCTGGAATGACGGGAAAGGATGTTGCCTCAGTTGATTTGATCGTCACATGGGAGAGCGGAGGGCTACTTTGCAGCTTTCTTTCTTTTTTACAGACACGTTGTTTAAGAACTTGAACGTAAGCTACGGTTTTTTCTTTTTGTCTTACAGAGTAAACTCGTTGAAGAAATTCAGAAAATGAAAACACGGTAAGTACATTATTTTGTAATTCAGAATCTTGATCTCTTCTCAAAGGGGAAGGCGTACGAGTCTATCTACAAAGTCAACAACTTCTCCCTATTTGCAGCAACATGAGGACATGACAGATGCTTATAAAATTATTTTACTGAACGCTACTTGCTAAGGGATTTCCTCAAATGAGGCGCCCTTAGTGCAAAAATACTTCAAAGAAATAAAATAAAACAGGGTCCAGAAACACTGAGCTTCTCCAAAGAATCGGCGGGTGACCGAGCGGTGTGGCTGCCTGGGTTTTCGTGTGCTGTCGATTCCGATATGTCACCTGGTCAGTATTTGCTAGTAAGGTGACCAAAGGAAACGGAATGAGAGTGGGTGGGCTCTGGGTTGACTCTCCTAAGATGTGCCTCTTGTTGTGACGTACCCTCTTAGACATTGTTGAATGTGGCGTCAGTCAGAGCTGACGCTTCTCCATTGTGAGCTTAAGTGACGACAACAGAGACAAACTTCTGCCTCGTGACCAGGGCTGGGGCTGAGCCACAACAAATTCTAAGTAGCACACATTGGAAAAGACCGGTGCCCCACTCTGAGCACCAGTGTGTTGTGAATTGGGTGAAAGTTTACGGAGCAAACCATCCTTCATACAAGCAGCATTCACGTTGGGTTTCAACTCCAACATGGCAGTCCCTTTGGGAACCATCAGCCCCCCATCGTCTGCGTTTCCTATGCCCATTCCTCTTATCCCAGTGCTCCGAAAGTTGTCCCTGAGTGACTGCCGCCCTTTCCATCTGCAATGGCTGAGTCCAGGTGCAGCCCTGCAGGGTGACTAAGGGTCACTAACCGGAGCTGTCCCTTGTGTGATGCTGCTCCTGTTCAGAGCGGTTGCTAGTGGTGGCTGGACCCCACTGTCAGGTCCGGGGTTATGGACTCAGTATTTCTGTCCGTCCATCGTTCGTTTCATTTTCATCACTCTTCTTGTCTCCGCACTGACACGGCGACTGCACCTGAGACGCTGCCCCCAACCTTGTGAGGTTTCACCTATTTGCCCAAGTAGGATTCAGAGCAGGACCTTTGTGAACTTTGTGCCAACAGACTTTGGGGTCCCCCGAGATGACTGATGAGGACAGTTTTGAAAATAGAAATTATTAAAAATTGGGGCACCAAACAAACCATGCAGACTGAAACTGTATAATTCAGTTGTATTAAGCACACTTGTACATGTGTTGCCAACATCATTTCCAAAACATTTTCTTTCTACTTGAGTCCTTGGTATCAGCTTCTCCTTTTTTCCCCTCCCTCCCCCACATTCCCATCCTCATGAATCCTTTCATCAATTATATATTATTGTTATTTCATATCTTACATCATCCGTTATCTCCTTTTACCCACATTTATAGTACTCATGGTGTTACCCCTTTCCCTCCCACTCTCCCTCCCCTCATGGTATCACTACCCCCACTACTGTTTCTAAGGGGTTTATCTGACCTGAATCCCCTGTGTTGTTGGGAGTTCTTATCTGTACCAATGTACATGCTTTGGTTTAGCCTGATTTGTACAGTAGAACTGGGTCATGATAGTGGGGAGAGGAAGCATTAGGAACTAGAGAAATGTGTGTTTTGTCAGTGCTATACTGCACCCTGGTTGAATCGTCCCTTCCTTGTGGCCATTCTGTAAAGGGATGTCCACTTGTCTACAGATGGGCTTTGGGTCTCCACTCTGACCCCTCCAATTTGCATCAATATCATTGTTTGTTTTGGATTGTCTGATGACCTGATTCCGTTGATACCTCATGATCACACAGGCTGGTATGCTTCTTCCATGTGGACTTTGTTGCTTCCCTGCTAGATGGCGAATTGTTTAACTTCAAGCCTTTAATATCCCAGACACTATCTCTTTTGATAGCTGGGCACCATCAGCTTTCTTCACCACATTTGCTTATGCACCCATTTTGTCTTCAATCTTCTCGGGAAAATGTTTGGAAATGATGTTGGCAAAGTGAGCATCACAGAATGCCGGATTGTTAGAACAAAGTGTTCTTGTGCTCTAAGGGAAGCCTTAAGTAGAGGCCCAAAGCTATCTTAATACCTAATGTATAAATATATATGTACACTGACCTGTCTCTTTCATTGTAAATTAACATGGTTACATATATGCATGCCTATAGCTATACCTCTATAAGTAGCTTTTTCCTCCTAGTTCTTTCCTGCATTTCCTTCCACCTTCTTCCTGTCCCACTATCATGCTTGCCCTCCACTCGACAATCAGTCATTCCTCTTGGGCACCCTGCATTTGATCAAACCCTACCAGGCATTCTATGCCTTCTTCACCATATATTTTAGGATCTCTTGTTCCCTTGTCCCTGAGTTTGTTGGCTCCTCACACTCCCTCCCGGCCCTCTCTTCTCCCATGTTCCCCCGGAACCACCAGTCTTGTTGTATTCTCCTGTGGACTGTAATATTATTTCAGTTGTCTTTGATCCTCCTAGGCTGCATTTAAAATAACTTCTAATTAAATTTTTATTGTTTTTTTTAATGGTTTAATTTTATTATTATTGTTAAGTGGTTCAAAACTCCTTTTACGAAATGAGTCTTAGATAAAACTACTGTACTCCTATAAAAATGCACATCTATGGGACCTAACTGCCAACTATTGCTCCAGAACGAAGCTGAGCGTGGAAGGGGCAGGGAAAGTAGATGAATGGTAGCAGAACAGCCAGTTTGTGGAAACAGGATAAAATAACTCCGTGGAAACACACGTGCGTCTGACGTAGAGCAGTGCTCAAAACGGAAGCACTCAGTATTAGGGACCTTGTCTAATCAAAATGTAGGCTTGGGAGGTAAAATGTGTATTTCTCTCATTGGGCCTCTTTGGTAGACGAGTGATGCTTGTCTTCCTCTGTAGCCTGGAAGAAGTCCAGAGCGCCCTCCAGGACAAAGAGAGGGGCTGCCGTAGAATGGCTGAGGAGGTGGAGCGCACCCGCACTTTGGAGTCAAAAGCATTCCAGGAAAAGGAACAGCTGAGATCGAAGCTGGAAGAGATGTATGAAGAACGAGAGAGAACCTTCCAGGTGTGCTTGTGGTGGTTTTTTCCTGGCATTAAAAACAAATGCAACCAACGTGCCACGTCAAGTCTACTGCCAACACATAGCGCCCCGCTAGGATAGGGTGGAAGTGCACCTGGGAGTCTTCTAGGCTGTGGCCCACGCTGTAGCGCCTGATGTGAGGAGAGTCTCCGCAGTTCTCCCAGGGAGCAGCGTGGGTGTGGACTGCTGCCATCCACTCTACGCCCCCAGGGCACATGGATCACGAGCACGGATCCGGGTGTCTTCCCTCCGTACTCCTGGAACGTGGTAGTGAGAGAAGGATGAAGGCTGTTCCTCAGTCTCCCTTCCTGGGTTGCTTTCTGTGCAGGAGATGGAGATGCTCAAGAAGCAGATGGAGTGCCTCGCGGAGGAGAACGGGAAGCTGGTGGGTCACCAAAACCTCCATCAGAAGATTCAGTACGTCGTGCGGCTGAAGAAGGAGAACGTCCGGCTTGTGGAGGTAGCCTCGGCACATGACCCCGAGTGCCCTCAGGGGAGTTTAAAAACCTTGCTTAATTAGCTGTCTATAGAAATTACATCACTGAATCAATGACTTCTTACATCAAGGAACTTTCCTGAATTCAGAGAACTTTTCTCTCATGCTGTCCATCACAAGTGTGCTTCAATCCGCCAAATTATCACCAACATCAAATTCTTTCTTCAAATGAAAGTAGTTTACAAATTGAAAACGTTACCCACTTAATTTGAAATATAAATTTATGAATACTTTCTTATAAGCATTAGTCCTTATCTTTCTTTCTTTCTCCCTTTTCATGACTGCTAGGAGACAGAAAAGCTGCGGGCGGAAAATATATTCTTAAAAGAAAAGAAGAGGAGTGAATCGTAAGGATCCCGGTCCAGCAGGGCATCATGTGTTCTGTATAGAAGCCAGGCCTCTTTGGGGATCTGAATGGGGACCTGAGTGGGTGAGTGGCAGTTGGCCCTCCAGTGGGCCCTCGGGTTCACGTGCGTCCTGCGGGGCCTGCCTGAGAGGGCGCCGAGCCTGTGTCAAGGCTGCAGAGCAGCCGTAGGCGCTGGGAAGCCTGTGCCCTTAAGGGTGCGAGCTTGTGGTTCTCGTGGTTCTCGTGGTGGGGCTGCGTCAGCGCAGACGTTTCTCCTTGTGCACTGCCACCCTCCTCAGCGTTACCACCTCTAACCACCTCGAGCAAAAAGTCGACCTGTTCATAGCGTTTATTTTTGTATTTCTACTTTGACCATTTACCAAGACTGTAAATATGATGTTTTTTTTTGAAAACATAATAAAATCTTCGAAAAAGAATAAACAATTTGATAAAGTGATTTACATTATTCATTCAGCTCACTTACTCAGCACTTGGTGATTGCCTACTAGGCCAGACACTGCCCTCGAAGAGCCTCCCTGTATCCCAGCCTCATTCACTGCTCATGCAAGTAATGCTCGAGGGTATGGTACCCCTTCACGGTGACAGACAGGTGAAGTGTTTCCTGGTTGGAGGCACGGGGAGTAATTCTGCAGGAAACTGTAAGTGGTGGTGTGGCGATGGAGAGCTAGGCGTAGAGCGCTGGCGGTATGGTGAGTAGATGTTAACTGTCCGAGACAGGGCCTCTTCCAATGTGGATGCACTGCCACTTCCCTGCCAGCAAGGTGTTCCCATTTCTCCACAACTTCGCCGACACTTGTGCATTTCCGGGGGGTGGGGGTGGGTGAGGGGGCTATTAGAGCCACACTACTTGGTGTCTATATTTCCTAATAACAAAGGATGTTGCGCATTTTTCTACAGTCTTGACTACTACTCTGGAATTTAAAAGGCCAAAGACATGCGCTACTGCAACATGGGTGACCTCCCAAAAGCATGCCAAGTGGAAGGAGCCAGACACGTCATTGGGTGATGTCAGTTCTGTGAAATTCAGAACTAGTTCAGTTCCTAGAGGGAGAGAGCGGAGGAGTGGTGGTCGTGCCGGGACTGTGTTCCTGGGTACACAGCTGTAAACTTACTAAAGAGTTGATTCTCAAAGTTGAAGAAAACATAAAGTGCTTCCTAGTTGCACTCAGAAAAACACCGTAAGTCCCCAAGTACTAGGAACAAAGGAAGGAACGAGAATTCGCGTGAGGTGAGAGCAGTGTGCAAGTGCGCCTGCCCTGGGGCTGGGTGGGGTGGGGAGCTTGAGTGCGGATGCTGTCTCGGGTGTGAAATGTCATCTGAGCAACTCCTGCCGGGAACGGGAGTGGTGGCAAAGGTTTCATCTGTATCACTGATGCTCTCTTAGGAACTGTCTACATGGGGTCAAGCTTACCACTGACGGAGAGAGCTTGTCTGCAGCGTTCTATCTACTGGTCACAGACACACATTTGGACTCGTTTTGTTCGGAACAACCCTAGTAACAATACTTTTTTTACTTAGCTTTGCACGTGTGGATGTCCAACACACGTGTATGTGCTTAAAAACAGTAAATTTTTAAAATAAAATTTAATTTTAAAGATAAAATATTTCTGGCCCTCCATGCTGTCCCAGTTCAGGTCACTAAGCTGTATCTGTTACTGCTAGAAAGTTTTGTTTGTTTGTTTTTTTATCTCTTAATCACACAGTAGTCCATCTAAGCAGGCCTTTGGAGTGAATATGTGAATTGGTCACAGTATTGGCCACTATGGAAGGAACAAAGAGAGGAGAGACATGTGACTTCTGTCTGTCCTGCCAGCCCTGTTAGGGAGGCACACAGATGTAGGGGGCTGAGCACAAGTCACTTAGAGCCTTGCTACGAGGTGTGGTCTCCAGCCAAGGGCATTGCTATCCAGGAGCCTGTTAGAAATGCCGAGTCTTAGTCCCTCTGGAGACCTCCTCAATCAGGTCCATGTAACACGATCCCAGCTGATTTGTGTGCACACAGGAGGCAGAGCGATCAGGCATTCACGGTGTCAAGTAAGCTATCATTGCCAGAACTGGGCCCTGTGTTAGGGATTGGGCGTGGAGGAAAGATGTGTGTGGTCCCTGCCAGTTTGTAACCCAGCACATAGACAACCAGCCAGCTCTGAACCATGAGAGGGCTGGTGTGAAAATAGGAAATTGGCACCGACTGCTTTATAGAGGATGTGGCTCTGAGACACTCCCGTCTCTATTCCCTTTACATCTTTGATCAGGTGCCATACCATTTTTCCTTACTGAAGGTTCAAAGTAACATTAACAGCTTTCAGAGGGACAACCTTGTGTTATAGCATGGTGCACTGAAGCCTCTCTAAATCTCAATTTCCTCCTGCAAATTCGGACTGTCAGTACCACACAGAAGTTGGATTACCCAACTTTTTATTTGAGCCACAAAACCACTCTAGGAAAGCAGGGTGTCACGCACAGTAACAGAAGGATGCTAGAGAACAGTAAGTATCTCTGGTGGTTGGGGGTGTAAGGTGGAGGTGGGGGGTTGGCATGGGGCTCCAACTGCAAGTTTGCAGTTGAAAACCTGTATGGGATTCTGATTAGTCGGAATCAACTTGATGGCCATGGGTGTAGTTTGTGTGTATGTACCAAGCAACATGAAGTAATTTTTGTTTTTAAAAAGTCTTACATGTGAAATATACAGGTATATGTATTTTGCATGTACACCATCTATGATGGGAGCCCCTGTGGTATACTGGTTATGAATTGGGCTGCCAACCACAAGGTCAGCAGTTCAAAACCACCAGTGGCTCCAAGGGAGAAAGATGAGGCTTTTGATTCCTGTTACAGTCTCAGAGACCCACAAGCCCAAGTTTTCTTCTGTCTTAAAGGGTCCCTATGAGTCGGCATTGACGCAATGGCAGTGAGTTTTGGTACTTTTTAAAAAATCGTTTTATTAGGGGCTCATACAACTCTTATCACAATCATACATACGTCAATTGTGTAAAGCACATTTGTACATTCATTGCCCTCATCATTCTCAAAGCATTTGCTCTCCACTTAATCCCCTGGCATCAGGTCCTCATTTTTTCCCCTCCCTCCCTGCTCCCGTAATTTTGGTACTCTGTGAGGAAAAAGGAAAAGTATTTGACCCTTTTCCTGAAGAGTGGGAATAGGGGGAGGCAGGAAGAGAGGAATTCCATCCTTGAAGAATCCTGATCCTTTTCTACAATGAGTATACACATTGCCCATCTCTACATACAAAATGCCCACGAGGGCTTATCTTGTTGGAAGGAACCCAAATGCGTCCTCTGTCAGGAGAGCTCCGGCGCACAGCTATTTGTACCTGCGCTTCTCAAAGCCGCCGCAGCTCGAGGGCAGGGGGTGTCTCCCACGGGAGTGTGAACGCTGGTCCCCAGAGGGGATGTGGATTCCGACTCGGCGGGCCTGGGGCCGCGCTAGGGCTCTGCAGGTGAGGCCAACGCTGCACCACA